TAGACGCAGAGAAAGCTTTTGACAAAATTCAACACCGATTTATGATAAAAACTCTGCAGAAAGTAGGCATAGAGGGAACTTTCCTCAACATAATAAAGGCCATATGTGACAAGCCCACATCATCCTCAATGGTGAAAAACTGAAAGCATTTCCACTAAGGTCAGGAACAAGACAAGGCTGCCCACTCTCACCACTCTTATTCAACATAGTTTTGGAAGTTTTAGCCACAGCAGTCAGAGAAGAAAAGGAAATAAAAGGAATCCAAATCGGAAAAGAAGTAAAGTTGTCACTGTTTGCAGATGACATGATACTATACATAGAGAATCCTAAAGATGCTACCAGAAAACTACTAGAGCTAATCAATGAATTTGGTAAAGTAGCAGGATACAAAATTAATGCACAGAAATCTCTGGCATTCCTATACACTAATGATGAAAAATCTGAAAGTGAAATCAAGAAAACACTCCCATTTACCATTGCAACAAAAAGAATAAAATATCTAGGAATAAACCTACCTAAGGAGACAAAAGACCTGTATGCAGAAAATTCTAAGACACTGATGAAAGAAATTAAAGATGATACAAATAGATGGAGATATATACCATGTTCTTGGACTGGAAGAATCAACATTGTGAAAATGACTATACTACCCAAAGCAATCTATAGATTCAATGCAATCCCTATCAAACTGCCAATGGCATTTTTCACGGAACGAGAACAAAAAATTTCACAATTTGTATGGAAACACAAAAGACCCCGAATAGCCAAAGCAATCTTGAGAACGAAAAACGGAGCTGGAGGAATCAGGCTCCCTGACTTCAGACTATACTACAAAGCTACAGTAATCAAGACAGTATGGTACTGGCACAAAAACAGAAAGATAGATCAATGGAACAGGATAGAAGGCCCAGAGATAAACCCACGCACATATGGTCACCTTATCTTTGATAAAGGAGGCAGGAATGTACAGTGGAGAAAGGACAGCCTCTTCAATAAGTGGTGCTGGGAAAACTGGACAGGTACATGTAAAACTATGAGATTAGATCACTCCCTAACACAATACACAAAAATAAGCTCAAAATGGATTAAAGACCTAAATGTAAGGCCAGACACTATCCAACTCTTAGAGGAAAACAAAGGCAGAACACTCTATGACATAAATCACAGCAAGACCCTTTTTGACCCACCTCCTAGAGAAATGGAAATAAAAACAAAAATAAACAAATGGGACCTAATGAAACTTCAAAGCTTTTGCACAGCAAAGGAAACCATAAACAAGACGAAAAGATAACCCTCAGAATGGGAGAAAATATTTGAAAATGAAGCAACTGACAAAGGATTAATTTCCAAAATTTACAAGCATCTCATGCAGCTCAATAACAAAACAACAAACAACCCAATCCAAAAATGGGCAGAAGACCTAAATAGACATTTCTCCAAAGAAGATATACAGGCTGCCAACAAACACATGAAAGAATGCTCAACATCATTAATCATTAGAGAAATGCAAATCAAAACTACAATGAGCTATCATCTCACACCAGTCAGAATGGCCATCATCAAAAAATCTAGAAACAATAAATGCTGGAGAGGGTGTGGAGAAAAGGGAACACTCTTGCACTGCTGGTGGGAATGTGAATTGGTACAGCCACTATGGAGAACAGTATGGAGGTTCCTTAAAAAACTACAAATAGAACTACCATATGACCCAGCAATCCCACTACTTGGCATATACCCTGAGAAAACCAAAATTCAAAAAGAGTCATGTACCAAAATGTTCATTGCAGCTCTATTTACAATAGCCCGGAGATGGAAACAACCTAAGTGCCCACCATCGGATGAATGGATAAAGAAGATGTGGCACATACATACAATGGAAAATTATTCAGCCATAAAAAGAAACGAAAGTGAGCTATTTGTAATGAGGTGGATAGACCTAGAGTCTGTCATACAGAGTGAAGTCAGAAAGAGAAAGACAAATACCGTATGCTAACACATATATATGGAATTTAAGAAAAAAAAAATGTCATGAAGAACCTAGGGGTAAGACAGGAATAAAGACACAGACCTACTGGAGAATGGACTTGAGGATACGGGGTGGGGGAAGGGTGAGCTGTGACAGGGTGAGAGAGAGGCATGGACATATATACACTAGCAAACGTAAGGCAGATAGCTAGTGGGAAGCAGCCGCATGGCACAGGGATACCGGCTCGGTACTTTGTGACCTCCTGGAGGGGTGGGATAGGGAGGGTGGGAGGGAGGGAGTCGCAAGAGGGAAGAGATATGGGAACATATGTATATGTATAACTGATTCACTTTGTTATAAAGCAGAAACTAACACACCATTGTAAAGCAATTATCCCCCAATAGAGACGTTAAAAAAAGAAAGAAAGAAAAAGAAAGATGCTATGATGATCCATGTAAAAAAAAAAGTATGACACTTAAAAAAAATGAAAAGACAAGCCACAGATTAGCAGAAAATATTTGGAAAATATATATCTCATAAAGGACTAACTCATACAGAACACCTAAAGAAATTTTACAACTCACAATAATAAGAAATCAATCAAGCAAATAAAAAATGGGCAAAAGATCTGAATGAACATTTCACAAAAAAAGAAGGTAGGGGGATTGATGGCAAATAAACATTTTTTAAATGCACAACATCATTTCATCATTAGGAAAATTAAAATCAGTATGAGATACCACTTTATCAGAATAGTGAAAATTAAAAAGACTGACAATAATAAGCCCTTACAAAGATAAGGAACTATCATACATTGCTGATGGGAAGGCAGAATGACAGTCACCCTGAAAAAAGAGTTTCACAGTTTCTTATAAATTTCAACATAGCACTTACCATTAGAACCAGAAATTCCAATACTGGATATTTATTCAAGAGAAATGACAACTTACATCAACACAAAGACCTATATTTAAATATTCACAGCAGCATTATTCATTGTAGTGATGGTTACTTACTTCACACATTTGTCAAACTCATTGAACTGTATACATTAAAAGGGTAAATTTTATTGTATGTAAATTATACCTCAAAAAAACCTAACCTGTAAAAAAATTTCTTTCAAAAGTCATCCATTCCCTGACTCTATCCAGGTTTGTCTACATACCTCTTAAACACACTCCCATAGCTCTCTTTCCAGCTATTCATCGATCATCAGTTTACCGGGTCTAAGAACCTTATCTGACTCATCTCTGGATCCTTAACACTAAGAACGATGCCTGCTAGAAAGCAGATGACCAATCAATGAACCTCAGTGATTCTGGCTATTAACCTAACACATCTTAGCCTTGCTTTCCTCTAAAAATTTGTAATTCTATTATATCTGATTTTCTAGTAGCCTGTTACTTGTTATACCTATTTCATAAGTGACTTTCTACAAGGATATTAAGTGTCTAGTTGGCTTAGAAAAATGTTTTCTCTTTCTCTTGTTCTCTGCGATACCAACATAACCAACTTTGTAAGAAGACACCTGAATGCTAACTCTCTGAAATTAGGGTAAGTTAGACATAAGCACAGCTGGGTATTTTAAGAAGACAACCACCTAAGGAATGTGTGAACTGAAAAGCATGATGAAGACCATCTTCTCTGGCCAAAAAAAACCCCTCCCCTACAAGCCTATAGCCCTGCAACTCTAATGTTAAGAAGCCCCACCCCCACACAACATAAACAAGTGCTTAATATCATAATCTATACACAGAGAGCCAACTCCGGCATGTAGCAAGATAGAAAGAGTATGTGCCTCAGGGCAGGGCTGGTTAGCCAGGCTAAAGGCAACAAGCATTTGGTACTGAAGGAGAGGAGAAAAACCCTAAGCCACAAGTCATTACTTCATGAGTTTTAATTAAGACCAGCCCTAAAACAAAAGAAAAAAAATAAAAATAAAAGAGTTTGTAGCAGGTTAGAATTTAGTTAAGCAAAATATTCATTGCATGCATTGTTCTGGTCACTATAAAAGAACACAAAATATAGTATGCAAAATAAGGGAAGAGCTGTTTTGCTTTTTTTTTAATCTGAAAAAGAAAAATGTAGAATTGTTTCTCTAACAGAAACATACCAGAAAGTATATACTGAATAAATAGTAAAAAATATGAAGGATGCTTGTAGATATAACTAACATTTTAGGGTTACCTTTATCAGTAGTCCCACAGGTATCACAAAATAGAAATGGCATTTATTCCAATGTGGGCTGAGTGGTTACCAAGGACTACATGTATATACCAGTGTGGTACAGCAGAAAGAGAATTTTCAAGTCAGGCCTAATTTAAATCCCAGCTCCACCTAGCAGTGTTATCTTGATAGTTTCTTAAATTCTCTGAGGCACAATTTTCCCATCAGGAAACTATGGGCAATAATATCAACTTTCACAAGGTCACTATAAATATTAACTGTAATTACTTATGTCTGGGAATGGCAAACAGGTTTCATTTCAGATGCAATTCTGATATATTTCTAGTTGCATCCTGGGACACTGTGTTAGAAAGGATTATGGAGCTACTTCTGAGCTCAGCTAGAAGAGTGCTATGATGAGTTAACTACATCAGTCATGGGGAATGGGTAGCAGTATATAAGCCAGGCATTTGTCATCCCTGTGCTCAATAAACAGAAGCTCTTCTTATTCTTGGAATAACCCCACTCTACTGGTCATAAGAGAGGTGCTTATTTTCAACTTAATTTTCAGATTCTAGGGGAAACATCCAATAAGACAGAACAAGCAGAGTGCTATGAGAAAGCATATGCTTTTCTACCTGCCCCCCCCAAAAAAATATCCTCTTAAATTATCAGCTTAAGGCAGTTCTTCATAAATTTTTTCAGTCATTTTTTAAACCTGGCAATGACTCAAATTTCTGTAAGTAAGTGAACAATCATAAAGGGTCTCTCTTTATAATAGGAAATGTAGAATCAGAAGATTCAACAGAAAAAGCTAGACTGTTCATTTAGAGAAGACAACTACTTGAAACTGCAGTGTAAAAATTACCTGCTGACCCAAATATTTCAGCCCATCCAAACAGACTTTCCATTCAATCAACAGCTGGTAGATGTCCTCCTTCCCACCCCAAATCTTCACCACGAAACAAGACACAGATGTATCGAGACGGTCCGGCATTATTCCAAAATCAAGACTCCGCCATGTTGGATTCTGTTGATGGAAATGAAAACATGCTTTAGGAAGACCCTAAATGTTTACAGTTTACAGTTATTTCAGTTAGGTTGTACATCATTTTGTTCTTTAACCAAAAGAACTTATAAATATACTAAATTGCAAACTTAAGAAGACATTCCAATTAACATAAAGAGGGTGATATCGGTACTTTTTAATTTCTCTGCTTATTTATTATAGTCAATAGAAGGAGCATATATTCTAATCTCTCATTAACATGGCTTCCTATGGTAATTCATTTATTTATTCAACACAATACACAATTATTAAGAAGCAACTTATACACAATGCCCTCAAAGTACCTCCAACTTGTTGCTGGATTCAAACCTTTCTTTAAATAATTACATTGTTTCATGAAAAGTGCAATATGCAAAAGGTTACAAAGTAGCACAGGAGGGAATAATAAACTTGGAAGGCACAGGGGAAAGACAGCACACAGGCTATGAAACTTGGCTTTTATAGGACAACAGTAGTTCACCAGATTAAAATAAGGAATTGCAGGCAAAGGGAAAATAATATACAAGGGCTCAGAGGTGTGAAATAGCACAGTGTGGTCAGGGAACTAAGATAACTGCTGGAGCACACAACACAAGAGCGGCAGGACGCAGAGCTGGAGAGACCAACACGAGACTCCTTGCCAAGGAGGTGGTACTTTACTGTGTACAAGACGTGGGGCCACTGAAAGGTTTTAAGGTTAAGAATGGCATGGTCAACTTTATGCTCTGAAAGAACTTTGTTTTTCATTAAGAGGATTATCCAGACAGTTGAAACATTCTCTGAAAAGTGAAAAAGTTAAGGGGCTTTAATATTATCAATAGACATGAACTACAATGCATCGATTACTTACTTTCATTTATTTCCCTTACATTAAATGTTAGGGCTTTCATTGCTGAATGTAACTATAATCAATTTCATTAAATTATCAATTTTCATATTACACAAATCAGTAAATCAAAAGGTCCTCATATAAGGGTAACTAGTCTTTGTTTTGTGGCAGTTTTTCTTCCTGACCAAAGTGGGGACAGACTAGGGCAGTGTTTTTGTTTTAGGGGGATATATTGATGTATGTGTTTTTGTGGGTTTGGCTGTTGACATTTCAGGAGTGGGAACATGACTTCCAGTTTCATGGCACTTACGTCTGATCTATCTTTTTCACTTGTATATTTTTATTGTCTGATTTCCTTGCATTAAAATAAAAGCTCTGATAGAAACATTGCCTGATTTGTTTACCACAAGATCCCCAAAGTCTGAAAAGTACCTGCTATGTGCTCAATAAATATTTGCTGCTGGTGGCGCAGTGGTTAAGAATCTGCCTGCTAATGCAGGGGACATGGGCTCGAGCCCTGGTCCGGGAAGATCCCACATGCCACAGAGCAACTAAGCCCATGCGCCACAACTACTGAGCCTGTGCTCTAGAGCCCATGAGCCACAACTACTGAGTCCACATGCCGCAACCACTGAAGCCCGCGGGCGTAGAGCCCATGCTCCGCAACAAGAGAAGCCACCGCAATGAGAAGCCTGTGCACCACAACAAAGAGTAGCCCCTGCTTGCCACAACTAGAGAAAGCCTGCGCGCAGCAACAAAGACCCAACACGGCCATAAATTAATTAATTAATTTAAAAATATATATTTGCTGAATGAGTGAATGAATATCCAATTAACCAAAATGGATGTTTGAGGACACCAAAAGATTATCGATAAATAGCATGATAATAACACAATAAACACATTGTGCAATCAGCTTTATTCTGATTCCACACCATCCAAGAATTTCAACCTAAGATCAACAGAACTCCATTCTTACATGACCCCCAGTCTCTATCCCACCATAATTGTTTTAGCAACCCTTCTAGATAGGGGTAGAGTTTCATTTAAAAATGAAGATAAACATTAAGGTCTAGGAATAACCAGGCAGACCTGTACTACAAGAGACGCTAAAGGAAGTTCTTCAGGCTGAAGAGAAATGACACCAGATAGAAACCTGGATCTTTAAGAAGGAATAAAAAGCACTGGCAATGGTAAACATGGAGTAAATATAAAAGACCAAGTATTTTTCTTATTTTATTTATATCATATATGTCTGTTTAAAGCAAAAGCTATAACTGTATAAAGGGTTTTATAACATATATATAGGTTCACAAATATGAAAGTAATAGCACAAATGAGACAAGGTGGCCAACTGGAACGATACTGTTGCCAGGTTCTCCTGTTTTACATGAAGTAGTTAAGCGTACATATAGTAATCCCTAAAGCAAAGATTAAAAAAATCAATGCAAAGAAGTACAGCTGAAAAGGCAAGGCAAGAATGTGAAATAGAATATGAAAAAAAAATACATACTGCATGATGATTCCATTTATATGAGGTTCTAAAAGAGGCAAAACAAATCTGTGGTGAAAAATGATTTCCTTTTGTGGGGGGAGGGCTTGGGCACAAGGGAACTTTCTGGAATGATAGGAAATGTACATATCTTGACAGGTATGTATGCACTTATCAAAGCTCAGCAAATTACATAGTTAAAAATCTGTGCATTTCATTGTATATGGCTTTTACTTCAGGGAAAAAAAACTGTAAACACTGAACTCTGATGTATAGGTCTGCTTCTTATAGTGGTAAGGATTAGCAATTCTAAAGCCACCTTCTGTGTATTCTAAGCATGAGTAAAGACGTTGACGACAGTGGAAGCCAGGTTTTTCACTGTCAGAGAATGGAGTTACAAATGAACTGAGTTCAGTTGGACTGAAAATGGAGATGTTGGTATGAATGCATGGTTTTTAAAAGATAGATCGATACACAGATAGACAGAGCAAAAGATATAGGGTGTGTGTGTGTGTGTGTGTATTTCCTAGCTCAGTCCCTTAAAAAGTCTAGAAGTAATGAGCACACTAGTAACAATGAGCATGCTCAGATCTTGCTGTCTATTTAGCATTCTCACTAAAAGGAACCAAGGGTTCCTTCAGGAGAAAACTGATTCCAGGGCTGTGGCAGGAAGAGTACAAAATGAGTCTGGAACATCTCGTGCCAGAATGTAAGTAAGTACTCAAAGAATGATGTGGACATATCAAAAGGAAAGAGGAATCAATTCACAGGGCTTTCATTAACCCAATGTGGGATAACTTAAGCAACAAAATAAATAATGACAGTAATGGATTATAACCCATTGAAATAAAAATAAGAATCTTTGAATTCATAATGATATAGATTAATAATTAATCATTAATTAAATGGGAAATAAAGACAGAATGCCAATTAATAAATATAAAAGTCTGAAAGATGGGAATGAGAAAATTGCCAATGGATGCTAAAACTGGTAAACGAACAGTTGATAAGAAGCAGGACATATAAAGTCTCAAAGTTTCTCCCTAACAAATCACTTATTAATTATAAATGGAAAAATTGTAACTTCACAGTGGAGAAACCTGACAGGCACTACCTTAATCAACTGACAAAAGTTAACATCAATATTGGGACAAACCAACAACAGGCGCCTTCTAAACCAAAGCACTGAAAAGAATACAGTATTACAGCTATAGTTTTCCTGCCGAAAATGCATACCTGAATCTAATCACGAGGAAACATCAGTCAATCAAATTGAAAGACAGTCTATGAAATAACTGGTCTGTATGGTTTTAAATGCTGAAGTCAAAAACACCCCAAAAAAGGCTAAAGAACCGTCCAGACTGAAGAATAAAGCAACATGACAACTAAAGACAGAGTGATTCTGAATTGAGTCCTGGAGAGTTGACAGTATCTGAATAAGGACTAGGAATTCATTGGTGGAAAGGAAAATTGGTACAACCAGTTGGAAAACAGTATGGAGGTAACTCAAAAAAATTTAAAATACAACTACCATATGATCTAGTTAACCCTCTTCTGGGTGGATATCCAAAGGAAATGAAACAGTGTCTTAGAGATAGAGAAGCACTCCCATGTTCACTCCCAGTTCATGTTCACTCCCATGTTCATTATTCATAATAGTCAAGATATAGATACAACCTAAGTATCCATCAACAGACGACTGAATAAAGAAAACGTAGCATATATATGTATGGAATATTATTCAGCCTTAAAAAAGGAAATCCTGCCATTTGCAACAGCATGGATGAACCTGAAGCATAGTATGATAAGTGAAGTACGTCAGAAAAAGAAAGTCAAATACTGCATAATATCACTTACATGTGGAATCTTTTAAAAAAGTCAAACTCATAGAAACAGGGTGTGTAACGGTGGTTGCCAGGGGTTGAAGTTGGGAGAAACAGGGAGATGTTGGCCAAAACGTACAAAGTTGCAGTTTTGCAAAATGAAATCATTCTGGAAATCTAATGACAACATGGTGACTATAGTTAATAATACCGCATTGTATACTTGAAATTTCTTAAGAGAGTAATGTTTTCTCATTACCAAAAGAAAACAAACAAAAAACAGTAACTACATGAGGTGATAGGTATGTTAATTAGCTTAATTTTGGTTAATCATTTTATAATATATATGTATACCACAACATCACATTGTACACCTTAATATATACAATTTTTGTCAACTATACCTCAATTAAGCTGGGGGTGGAGGATGAAGGACTGTGGTTAATAACTGTATTGTGTCAATGTTACACTTTCCTGATTTTAATCATTTTAATGTGATTATGTAAGAGACTGTCCTTGTTTGTAGGAAATATACACTGAAATATTTGATAATAGCAAATCTTTCTTTGAAGGTAGTCTTAATTATTTTAAGAAGCCAAAGTTATTCTTAGAAAAATTTATTGAAAAATACAAGCAATAAGGAAAGATAATATTTTGGGTAAAACATGATGGGTAACTGTGAAACAGCAAGACTAGATTTAACACATGGCCCAAGGAATGAATGGAAGGGAAACATCCATTTCTGATAATGGCAGGCTAGACAATCATCCCACTGAAAACAATTAAAGATGCTGGCTAAAATATTTTTAAAATAATAATAACCACCATCATCACCAAA